ACCGCTGCACCCCGCAGGCGCGCACGACGTGTGTGGCGTTCTCGTGCCGTGACGGGCGCTACATGGCGTGCGGCAGCACGGAGCACGTCGCGGCGCACTTTCACGACATCCGCCTCCCGCCGTCCAAGTCGCTGCTGCTGCGCAGTGTGTCGGTGGAGGGCGCCACAGAAGACGTGCTCTTCGCCGACGACGACACCTTCGCCGTGCGGCTCGTGTGCGGTGCGAGCAGCGTTGTGCTGCTGGCGTTCCCGAGCTGCAGCGCCACCGTGGTGCCGACCTCCGCACCGGTGCTGAAGATGGCCAAGGCGCGCGCACTGGGCCCGAACCACTTCTTCCTGCAGTGCGCGCGTGTCGAGGGCGTCTTCGTTGCTCACGTTAACCCGTTTGCTGGCGTGCAGATTCTCGCACTCATCTCGACAGGCATTAGCGGCATCAGCGGCGGTGTCGGTGGCGCCGTACGGCGCATCGCGTGCAGTGGCCGGCGCTTGTACCTTGTGCTGGAGACGGGCCACCTGCTGCTGTGCCACTACGGCCGACGCGGCGTGTTTACGCTCATCCCGATTGGTGTCGCGGAGCTCGACGCGGCGCACTTGGCGGTCTTTGATGGCTACACGCGCGGCTCGCTGCTGGCGGCGGTGGAGGCGGACCAGACGGTGACATTCGTGCCGTCGTATCACTCGTAATGAAGGAGGGAATGAGCGAAGGACAATGATGATGATGGTAGTGGTGCTGGTGCTGCGGAGTGAGTGCGTGGGGAAAGAAGAACAGAAAAGAAAGTGAACGGATGCTGCACACACACAGACACACAGACACACAGAGAGAACGAGAGTTCTGACTTGCTCCTGCACGCATACATACCTACATACATCCATACATACAGAGGTATCCCTTGATTGTGGTGGGCATATGTGTGCATGCACACACCGACCAGCCAGCATGGCTCCTGTGCCCTGTATGCGCCTTATTTTCCCTTGTTTATTTCTCCTCGTCTCTCTCTCTCTCTATATATATATATATATATTTATGTCTGTGTGGGTGGTCGCATTGCCTCAGTAGCCGCAGGAGGAGGAGCTATAGTGTTGCAAGTTAGACTTCGTGGTGCGATGGCCGGCACGCTCGAGAGCATCACCGCCGCCACGCAGCTGCGCCGGGCGGTGATGGAGGCGCAGCGGGAGCTGGACGCAAAGCGCGAGCTCTACATGGTGCGCATGGCTCGCGCGCGCGAGGTCGAGGAGAGCATTGCGAAGGACCGCGCGCGGCTGCAGGACACGCTCGTGCGCTACTACAAGTTCATCCAGGAGAATGAGATCAAGCGCACCCGCGCCACGCGCAAGGCCGTCACGGAGGAGCGCATCAAGAAGGAGCGCGAGGAGCAGATCGTCGAGCTCACGCAGCAGCTGCGCGACCTGGAGAGCCGCAACGAGCAGCTGCTGCGGCTCTACGACGTGTACGCCAAGTACCAGGAGTACCTCGACGAGGTGCTACAGCGCAACGACTGCGACGAGTACCAGGGGCCGCGCGACATCATCCAGCGCTGGAACACGCTGCAGGACAACACCAAGGTGCTGCAGCGGCGCAAGACGCAGCTTGAGGAGGAGCTGCTGCGCAACAAGAACGCCCTTAACCTGAAGCGGCAGAAGAAGAACAACGAGAGTGTCGAGCTGCAGAACCAGCTGAATGAGCTGCAGGCAACCTACGAGTCGCTGCAGAAGAACATCAAGATCAAGCAGGATGAGCTCGAGCGGTGCATCAACCAGCGCAGCTCCACGTCGCGCACGGTGAGTCACGTGCGGATGGCGTGCAAGAACCTCTACGACCGCTGCATCGCATGGACGGCGCCGTACTCCGGCCGGGGGAAGTTCGAGGTGAAGGAGGCGGATGTGCTGTTCCAGCTGCACGTCATTGGCGACTGCCTGCGTGACTTTCAAGATGTGATTGAGGCACACCACCAGCGCCAGCAGCAGATATCGGCGAGTCGCGCGGCGAAAGAGGAGGAGGATTGAGCTTACGCCTCTTTCCTTCCCGTTCTTTTCTCCTTTTCACTCTTTCTCTGCGTCTCTCTCTCTCTCTCTGTGCGTGTGTGTGTGTGTGTGTGCGTATGCGTGTGACATTGTGTATTTATAGCGCTGCGGATGACGGTGATGTACAAGTAGGCGAGGATGGCGACGGTGATGAGCCCGAAGACGGCTGCTGCTCTGCTACTACTACCACTACCCTCTTCGCTCTGCTGCTGCTGCCGCTGCCGCTGCCGCTGCTGCTTCTGCCACCTCTTTTCATGGCGCAGCTGATGGCGTTGCGCGGCAACCCTGCACTGTTCTTCTTTTTTCTTCTCTCCTTGTCCTCCTCGTACGTGTGTGCCTTCAGGGGCCGCAGAGCGCAAACCAAGTGACGGCCAGGGGTGTGCGGCACGGAGGCATCGGGTGACGTGGCTGCTGTTTCTCTTGTTTCTGCTGCCNCCCCCCCCCGCCATGCCATTTCGGCCCAGCTGCATCATCTGCTGCTCCGACTGCGACAGCGACGGCCTCTTCACAAGCTGCCAGCACTTTCTTTGCGGCCGCTGCACTGCCCGCTACGCGCCCGGCCAGTGTCCGCGCTGCCGCAAGCCGTGCAAGGTCGTCAAGGCGGGCGCCGCGCTCCCGAAGGAGGTGCGCGAGCGCATGACACAGGACCCGCAGCGGCTACTGACATTCACGCTGCAGGCGCTTGAGTTCCAGCGCCGACAAGAGCAGCAGACACTGCAGCGCCTGCGCGAGATTGTGACGACGCTGAACCAGAGCAACCGCGGCATGGCCGCGCAGATCAGCGCGGC